ATACATGCTGCTGAGAGGTCTAATACTAGGATGAAACGACTATCCAGGTTTTGAGCGGTTCTTCAATTGATGTCAGTCACAGATGAATACTACCTAAAAATAAAATTTCTGTAGATATCAAAATCAAATTTTACGCTAGTGAAGTTTTCATTTCTTACTGACTAGTCGATAATCGTTAGTTCAGAGTTAAAACAAGCATAAAGCACTCTTCTTTGATGTTGAAATAAATTATTACTAAGTAAGATTTAGTATGACGACGAACTGCTTTTGACCACATAAAAGTGGCTTATATCTCCTAATGCCTAATCCTTCAACACACATTAAAATACGTCCTCAACGTCTCCTATACATCGTATTATATGATGTTTATAAATTCATTTCATACCCCGTTTCAGTGATATGTTTGGCTAATGACGAGTTAGAAGGTTTGTTTCCAGCATCATTTGGGTGGAATGTGTTCTCTATCCCTCATTTCCAATGACTGATGACTCCTCCCCATGCATATGTGACCACACCCACAGTGAAATGGGCAATGGGCAATGGGATGTGACTTCATATTTCACCTATTCCAACAACTTCGATGCGTTCACAGGCTTCGAATTTTCAATCATCTCAACCTCATCTGCATAACGTGTTTTATTGATGACAGCATTGAGTCTCTGTCCGACTATCAAGCTAGTCACAACACCAATGTATCATGGTAGCTTGATGAATACACTTGTCAATGTTCTGTCCAACTTATATCGACTTAGTAGGCTAGTTGTTCTCAACCAGTGTCTCTAACATTACTCTTGTCTCTTCTTCCAACATATCGGCTGTGCATAATCGTTGAATTCTATTAGATAACCAGCTAACTAAACCTCGTTTGTATTGGAATGGACGGAGACTGTAATAGTTTAGATATTGCTGTGTTCCATCCAGTAGGCTTTGTGTAAGTAGATCGTGTCATTGATCCATTGTTGTCGACTGACCAATACATCTAATAAAGGTGGTGAGTTGTTGTTCTCTTCTACACTTATTGAATGTATAGCATTCTGTACTTCGTTCATCCAACTCCGAATTGAAGTAGCACAACATGAATGGTCACGTATGGTTAAGATATCATTCACATATCTTTCATGAAGTGGAGCTTTTTCATCTAAGTCTTCAGATAAATGTTCAATATAGGACATATGAATATCTGATAAAAGGGGTGCAAGGAGCCTTCCATAGCAACACTATCAATCTTACGGAAATATTTGTCGTTAGGTGTAAACTTTACCTTGCTAGTGCATAAATATACTAAATGTTTTGAGCAAGGTACAGCTACGGGGACTGAGAAATTATTGGTGGAGATATAATCACACAAAATTTCAAGAGAACACTAGCGAACGGGGATTTAACATAATAAGAGTACATAGTTTTATTACTCAGATTAATACCATCGAAGCTGTCAACTAACGCAAATGTACCTTTGAAGATGTACTTACAATATTGTGTTTTGATTGGGATCAGTAATCCCGCTAGCCACTGAATGAGCCTGTGTCGGTGATCTATGCATTGACAAAATACGACGAAGAGGACAAGTGGGTTTACGTATTTTGGGTATGCCATATAGATGTTAGAATTCGGATTTCTTGGGTTGAATGCGTTGAATTCACCTTAGTGATACTGTTTACACTGTGCAGTTTCCGTAGATTAGCCGTCGCGTTCCCTGTAATACTTGCACATCTTTTATAGGACCATCACGACAGAATTTTTATCATCAAGAATAGAGAACATTTCTCATCAGTAATGGCCTTTGTTCATGATCACAACTTGTGAATCTTTCTCAGGTCTGAATATGATAATATCTGGATTTCGTCGTAGTTCTTTCAAAGCTCTGAAATATTTCGGGCATTAAGATACTTTTCTGTCTCAGATGACCTTTGAAGAACTGACGAGCTATCTCCACCAGCTTAGCTTGAAACCAACCCTGATCATCATCTAAAGTTAGAACAAGGAGCTTAAGTTGATCGAGCAGATTTTCCACCTCTATGTGAATTGCCAAATGGGAAAACTGCATATGAGGAGCACAAAATTTTGGTCCAAAGGATAAGATTTCTTTCTGATATGCGTATAGTTTAACATTAGATAGATTAGTGACATATCTATCCATATTGATAGGGAAAGAACTAATGTGGTTTTTATCATCAGTTGAGTTGATAACCTTGTTTTGCATATTACTTTTCGTTTTGCCTGTAAAGGTACTACAAATTTAGGAATTTTAAATGGCATATTGTTGATAATTCTGATAAAATTTGTGACATATCAACAGAAACTGCAAATAGTTTTTTTCCATTCGCTATATATGATTTTGTATGGTGGATAAGATTGGAAATATTAGGCTATAATTTACTGGATTTTACAGTTTTATATAACTGTCTTGCGATAGCGTGATTTGAAGTATTTGACTGATAGATATCAACTTTCGCATGTTCAGCGGTAATTTAACACTTGAGGTTAACAAGCTCATTTAGTCTTTTAATAGTATATGAAAGGAGTCATCTCTTCAAAAATTTTGAAACAGTTAGCTCCCTTTATGAATTTTGATGAAGCAATAAGAAGACGTGTATTGATTGGTCACAGGAGTGCAATCAACTTCATGTTATCTAGTCCTGAGTGCAGACCGAATTCTATCGATCATATTTGCAATGTTCCGTTTGCCTCCAACCAACTAACATCTACTAATATGCACCGCGATGGTGAGCTTCTTATCTTGGTTGCCACATTGCAAATATGATCGATAGGATTCGATCTGCACTCAGGACCAGACAACATGAAATTGGTTGCACTCCCGTGACCAATCAGTACATGTAAACCGTCCTACAGGAGGTCAATTGCGGCCCGGATAGTTCAGTCGGAAAGTCGCTGACTACAACACTGGGTGACGCGGGTTTGAATCTTAGATGGGACATCAGTTCCATCGAGGTTGCAGATACGCCTTGCTGACGAGTGCCAAAAAGCATGAAACCTAGGTCCAGGACTTCCTGCCGATTGCCTCCAACCAACTAATAAGAAGACATAATTTGTCTGAATCGTGTAATGTGTTCGCGCAAAACATTTTGAACAATCTGGTCATATACACCTACTTATCATTGATATGAAAAATTACAGAATTAAGGGGTAGGAAAATAAATGGTCAAATGATAATCAATATTATGCTCCCCCTCTCTAATTCAGGTTGATTTAGATTGGAATCAGAAGTCCTGACTAGGCAGACAGTGTGAATACGATCAAGGGATAGTGACGCGTCACGAATTCACACGGTAGTTGGGCAAAACCCCAGTTGATTGAAGTGAAATAAAAGTTTAGTGAACAGTCGAACCTCTTAGCTCAGTTGGTAGAGCATTGGACAGGAGACTTGATGATCGCTGGTTTGATTCCGACCGCGGTCCAAATTTTCATTTCACCTCCAATCATCATCCAGCCAGTATGAATACTACTCTGCCAAGACACGACTATCTCAGACAATCAAATGATAAATAAGTAAGGTCAAATGAGAAGTATATTTGGAAGGTCAAAATAACAGTAGAGATCAATAAAACAACAAGAACAAAACGTTAATAGTACAATAACCTTGAGTGTAAAGCCGACAAATAGCGTCTTCTTATTGCTTTATCAAAATTCATAAAGGAAACCAATTGTTTCAGACAAATACTTCGGTCAACTAAAGTTCATACACCTCTGTTATACAGTATTATTATCAAGATGTGAAACATTTTTAACGCATGCCTAGTCAACCTCTGCCTTATCACAAAAAACGTTAGCTGAAGTAGGTTCAGGGTGGAAAAACGCTCGAGACAGCTGGACTCAAACATGTCTTCAGTGCATAAGTTTGTGATTATTGGTCTGAGCCCTGTTGGGATATGTAAACTGTTCAGTCGGTGTCTATGTGATAAAAAAAACCCAGTGGTTTGAGGCTGTAATTGATAGACCCAGAATCGGTGTCACTAGCGCCGATGTTATCCATAATTTATCTTAATCTTAATTGTTATACTGAATTCGTCATTTTCTCATTCCTCTTCTTTAATGCTTGTGACCAATTTTTATTTCTTTCTGCACGTTTCATCTAAATTGCTTTGTTACTTGTTGTGCTAATATGTATATGGTATGGCAACTTGGATCGTTGTGCATTAATGCCTGCTTCTATCCTGATATTGATGATGTCAATGATGATTCGTCTTTTATCCACGTTATAAACTGGCTGTTTCATAACATAACGTCAAATAAACTAGAGGAATAGTTTGCTATGATGTGCTGTAAAGTATATGACTTTAATACTGCCGCATGACCTTCTGTATACCTTACTGTCTGTATAATGTTGCACTTGCTACGCTCTACTCACGTCTAAGTGACATTTATTGCAGTGAACCCAAGATGGGACATTTCCAACCATTTGACTAGCAGTCACCCTGCTTCTTTCACCCTACAAGTGAAAACAAAGACCGATTGCTCACTTTTCGTGTATTTATCTATAATCTGAATCAGCTGTATGTATACAACAAAATCATATGTCTACAACGCACCTTAATTCTCATAAAAATAAAATAATAAATTTTAAACATCGAAACTGGAATAATGTATGGTTAACTTATTTTAATTAACATGCAATTATTTCGCAACCATGAATTTTACGGAATTGAATGAAAGGTCAATAAAAGGATGTTGAGTTATGTTAAATAATAATACTATATAATATCTTTTAAGACACATAACGTGGTACAACCATTAATGATTCTCTGATGTTTGTATTTCCCTTTATTCTGTCCATTCTAACATTTCCAATACATTATTTCTTTGTCCAGATGTTTTTTTTTATCGATCATCTACGATTTTCACTTTCGCCGAGAACGTCACATATACTACTTAAATGCATTCTTATTAATAGCATACTTCTCAACTGGACTAGGTTTTCTGTAATGCATAAAAATACTTTATTTCCTAAATTCACACTACAATTTTTTTTTATCACTTTATAGGTAACACCATTTATTGGAACATTTCATGATGCTGTCAAGTTGTACGCTCTGGCTTTAAATGATGCCTTAGCTAAAGGTGGAACTATTACCAATGGTACATTAGTAACACAAGAAATGTGGAACAGAACATTTAAAGGTATGTTTACAGTTATAGATTCATCAAAAGGCTGCATATTGATCTCATTAACCTACTGACTTGTTACGATACACTTGGAAGACAATGATACCAAGAGGTCTGTTTAACAATGAATTAAATAAATTTAGGTTAGTATTTTGCTACAACAATTAGTAGTTAAGACAATATAGTATCTAAGTAAGTTGTTCTTGATTGAAAAGTGTACTCACCAATGTAAACTTCTTGTAGAATTGACCTCTTTAAAACTCCTTTCTTTGAGAGACTCTGTATAGAGCTATGAATACTAATTGACACTTATTGTGAGTGAGGTGCGATTTAGAGAAAGGAGTGTCTGTCTTTCAGTACAAACAAATATAATCTTGCATTTATTCTGTTCGTAGTACTAGGAAACATATTTAGCTTACTAGACTGATCATTGACACGCGTCTATCAAAGCGTACGAGCACTAACCAGTCTACTCTTCAATTCATATTTGAGTGGGCATAATGGGTTTCGGACTGAGAACCTAGTGGCTTAAGCATTGAGACTCGAACTACACATTTAAGTGGTAAAGCTTGCTATAACTTGTACAGGTTATATTTTCTGCAGAAGTGGCTCCCATGAGGTCGTGAAACTTAAGAAAATTATGTATCTACCTAACTGAAATTGAATTGAAATGCACTCAACAACCACGTACTGCCTGACTGCTCAGACCTAAATGTAGTAGGGTGGTGTTCTAACCCATGGCCCATTGGTTGAAAACCAACTCTCTAGTCCTATGAAGCACAGCTTCATCTATCTCATTGGAACTTCCCAAATATATTCCCTCTATAATCCTTTGATCTAATGCTCAACTTACTCCATTCTATTCAATCAGATTTGGATCCAGAAGTTTATGAAGAGAAATAACTTTTTTCAAGTCGGTCCTAGTCATGGGTCAACTAAAGAGCCACCATGAAGTAGGAAGCAGTAAATAGCTGTTTCTTCCTAGCTCGCAGCTTATCAGTATTCATGATCTAGTCTCGCACCATTAGGTATTGTGATGAGTATGTTACCATTTAGTCACCCGATCAGAGTCCAGTGTTCAACGTTTTCATCTCCTATTGGTTCGCGTTATAGCATAACATCATTCTATACCATCTGGAAGTATTATTGATTTTTACACCCGACTTTCTTGACTCCCAAGAGTGAGAGTCTTTTCGAATACTTCTAGAAATCAAGACTGAAGGATTTATTGATAGTTTATCACCTTGAGACATAGGTAGATGTTTTCTAGAAGTAAATGAAATGTTAGTACTACATTTCACTAAAGTGTCATTTTCTTCAGTAGTACTGTTTTGTCCGTTATCCTAGACTTTATTTCGATTCATTGATGTGCATTTGATTCCATCTGTTGAGATGAACACTTTGAGAATATTTTTCAAGTTGGTATTCTTCGTGGACTGACATCACTTAGAAGAATATTGGAAACCTGCGAGCACTGGACAGCTGTTTCATCCTAGTATGGGACTCCCCAGTAGTGAGTACCCCAAGACCCCGCCAGGTTCCGTGGCCAGCACGTTACGTCGCAGATTCGATCCCTGGCCGGGTCTTGGGTGCTCACTGCTGAGGAGTCCCATACTAGGACGAAACAGTCATCCAGTGTTCTCAGGTTTCCAATGTCCCTCCAACTGATGTCAGTCCACGATGAATACCAACTTGAAAAATCTCTAAATCCCTAAAAACCCCCAAATTCAGTTAAACTGGTGCTCATCGGTGACTAGCTAAGAGAGGTGATTCCCGAAGTTCCAGTGAGGAGTCGTGACCAGTGGGGAAAACCTGATGGCCGTGAGGACGAATACTTAACGACGATATTGGGTGATGGTCGTGCTACGTCGTGAACTGGTAGAACCATTGGATTCCGACCCAGTGGCTCAATGGTAACGTGGTAGCCACGGAATCTGAAGGTTGCGGGTTCGATCCCTGGTGTGTGTGGTGGGGGGTGTGGGTGCGCATTGTTGAAAAGTTCCATACTAAGACGAAACAGTTGTCTAGTGTTCTCAGTTGTCCAATGTTCCTCCAACTGATGTCAGTTCACGATGAATATCAACTTGAAAAATATCTAAATCCCTACAATTCACAAATTCACTTTAAGAATAGCTTCAGTATGGTTCATACACGTAGAAACTGTATTTTTTAGTCGTATAATTGAATCTGGATGTATTGCATTGGATTACAAGCCGTAATAGATAAGGGGTTAACTTTTAAAACATTTTATCTTTGGTTGAACCATGTAAGTGATCGCTTCGATAAGTGCCTTGATTTAATGAACTATGCTACTGAAGAACATTCCTATTTTCACGCCAACATCGAATCATCAAGTGATTGACATAGGTGCTTATATCCTTCAGTTATGCATTTCAACACCTTATTACAAGTATCATAGCATCCTGGATTTTGAATTTCTTTTCAAGATATTTCAGGAAACCTTCATATTTGTCCTTACTTATTTGTTGATTAGAATCAGATTGATAGTGAACTTGGAGTTGATCAGTTACTCATCTATTTGTGTGTCGTCTTTATGGATGTTTTCTCATCAAAAGTGTATGTCTTCTAGGTAAGAGGAGGGTAACACTTAATGGACACTTATGTTTGGATAACAGCTTAACAGAGCTCTTAAGGAATAGCTTACTTCATCCTGACTGAAGAATATGAGTAGGTTAAGTAATGGTAAATGAGTCTATGCTATATAAGTGTCTATTTCATTCTACATATTCATCAACATATTTACGATGATATCGTTTGCTTTAGTAAACTAAAACATGTTTGATTACTTATACCATTTGATATGATCCAATATTTGGTCTTTTATTTTAATAGGCGTTACTGGTGTTGTTCGTATTGATGCAAATGGTGATCGTAATGCTGACTATTCTTTATTGGATATGAATCCTGTGACTGGAGATTTTGAGGTGAGATAATTTAAGTAGTTTTGTTGAAGAGTGTTCAATTCTCATCTATGGGGAAAAATTCTTAATCAACCTGTCTATATATACTGAACTTTCTTACTATTGATGAATTTTTAACATGAAGTTAATTTTTACTTCTAGTGGTTTCAAATGAAGCCATACATTAGAGGTCTATTCTGCAGTGTCGGGCGTTGCTGATAAGAATGGATATAAGTAGTATATGATGAGAGGGTGGCAGAAATCATAGGAAATTACCAACAATGGGTAAGGATTCCGTCAAGAGAAACGCAAGAGACAAGGCAGACGTATGAAGAGCAAATCAAGAAAAAAGCAGAAGAGGAAATGAAGCACATTTTACAGATGATGGTTTTAGTGCAAGGTGTACTATATTTAACGACTACTGTCCCACTTGTTGACAATAGATATTCCTTCCTGCATACCTGTCTTTTGCTTCTTTCACTACTACTTATGAGTAATATAAAAGAGTTAGTTGTACAGTAATTCTTCGTAATTACTGTTATTTTGTAGCAAAACTCAGATGTGAAAAGTCTATATTCTATCATGACTGAATAAGTCGATATCTTATGGTATTGGATGATTAATTTACGAATGCTGAGTTCATTTTGACACTTTTCCCAGGTGAATACATTTTCAACTGCTCAACTATATTATCAAATACGTTTATATGAACTATTAGTTTGTAAATGAATGATCTGTAAATTCAAGATTTAGTTCATAGTATATTGCTTCATCGAAGTCAATTGATGGGATTTATTTAGTGAGAACCATTTATACTGGGTGATAATCGAAGGTGAGATGAAGATTTTGGCCCGGGCAAGATTCCAACTAGTAACCACTGGGTTTCCAGTCCAATGCTTAACCAACTGAGAAACTTCAGTCATCACCCTGTATCAATAACACAAGTCTAACAGACTAAAGCTATCTCATATAGTCCAACTGAGATCCATTTAGTTGTGTGATCCCAATTCACCCAGATACAGTGCTGATGAAACTTTCATTAGATGAGCAAAGCAGTTATCTGGTGCTTAGATCACTCTAATCTGGCTGGCTAAATTGACAGATCAGTATGAGTGATTTCTAATTATCTATGTTGAATAATTGGTATTGTGTTATCTTTCTGATCTCAGTCATAGCTCTTAGACAGAATATGTAAAGTGAAGGATTAACATGTCATTTTACTGATCCTTTGGTAAACGAATTAAAACATCGTAGAAGAGTTTTTAATCACTGGAGAGTTAAGAAAAAAGATTAGTTTTATAAGCCCTTTGGTCAAAGGATAACCTTGTTTTTCCACATTCTAATATAAGCTGTTATGAGAACATCATGTATCAGTTAAAAGCAGAATTTTAAGTCCTATTATTTCGTATATTGTTAGTTTGAGCTTATGGAGAAACGGTGACTTTATGCTTTTAATCCATAAAACGTCGCTAGTCAGTGGTTGGAAGCCTTCAATGATATTATTCAAAGTTTATCATAGTCCTGAAGATATATTCATCATTTTTCACCTTCACAAATCTGAATATCTTATCAATCCATATTTGTTTATCCTCCTCCCTTCTATATACTACTTATTTGCTCAAATAACTTTTCTATTCTATTTTATTGTTTTCCTATGTTTTTGCAAAGCTCTACTTCGTTCTGTCTGTTTATCTTACTATATCAAGAAATTAATTTTCCAATTGTTTACAATGAATCCAGCAATGTAGAAATATGTGTTACACTAATAATACCTCAACGAATTCACATAACACTCGGGCAAAACCCTTGGTAGTTGAAGTGAAATAAAAATCTGGTCAGCAGTTGGCTATCGTAACTGTCAGTTGCTAGAGCACCGGTCAGGAAACCCGATAGTCACTGATTCGAATCCTGCTGCTACCCAGACTTTCAATCATCACTCGGTATCAATACAAGTCTGTTATACTACGGTTATCTTATATAGTCAGAATAAGCAACAAGGAACTCTGGGAACGAACCAACCAAGAACCTATTACCCAACAAATATGCAGCAGAAGAAAGTGGAAATGGATTGGGCATACACTGATAAAGCTGATTAGGGACATCATGCACCAGGCCGTCGAGTGGAATCCACAGGGGAAACAACGAGTTGGGCGTCCGAGGTGTGGGTGACATGGAGGAGATCATATGAGGAAGAAATGAAAGCTTGTGGTCAGTTGTGGCGCCAGGTTCAAAAGACTGCATAGAAGAGAGTGCAATGGAGGCGTGCTACTGAGGCCCTATGTTCCACTAGGAACCCGAGGGGAAAAAATGATAATTATAATCTTATATACTCAAACTGGGGATAAATAATTCTGATTTATCCATTAACTTCTTAGAACAGTTTACCTTCAACTCCCATTTTATGTTCTCAATTCTTTTACATCTCTGAAGTTCTTTTTAACCATCGTCAAGGGTGTACAACTTTCGTTTAGCATTTTAGATTGCTTGGAGCTAAATTCATAGCCTCATGTTGAGGTTTAAAACATATCTTGTGAAATAAACATATGACAAGTCTTACTTCATACGTCCTAATCATAATTGTGGATTTTATTCTTGAAGTAATCAAAACAAACCACAGCTGTGATTATTCAATCAACTTCATAGATCCTAACATATGTCTCCTCACTGCTGCGTCTCTACATTTTATGGTCAGCCTTAAGGAATTATAGGTATGAAGATATAATTGCACGATAAGACAAAAATGCAATGCACGATTGGATCATAGTTGTTTACCCAGTGTTACGATAAAGGGTTCTATCAGAACTGAATGATGAATAGACATGTTGATTGGTGTTTTAGACTTGTAATTTCCTGTTGATATACAGAGTCGAACTGCTCAGCCACTGTTAGCAGATGGGCTCCTATGTGGATGCCTCGACACTGCTAGATATTCATGATGTTGTATTCATCTTAGTAAATCGCAGTGAAGTCCAAGATAGACGTTTCATCCTAAGTGATACTTGTCAGTTGGATGTACCTCAACCTCAAGGAGTGATGTTCTTCCCACTGGGAATGAAACCCAGTACCCATCGCTTCAAACTCCAAAGCGTCATCCACTGGACCACATCCATCGGACGAGTCCTAAATCGTACGAAACTTGAGTACTGGATCCCACTACGAGTCACCAAAAGGAATAAGATATGTTGGTTCTTATCTTTCATTATCATATTGTACATGGTGTCCAGTGTTATACATCCTTACAGTGAAATGCGATCCACAGTTCACTGAATTACATATGATGATGATATAGTGCTTAATTCAACTATAGTGGTGCTTTTATTTAAACTTCTGTGGGCTGGTATTCGACTTAAGACAAAATAGTGTTAAATCACCGTATGCTCTTCATGAGTACATTTATGCTAGTGATAGTATGCATCATGTAAGCTGTTAGTAAATCAGTTTTGTCTAAAGAATAATTCAATTCTCTAAATTCTCATTAATATGATCCATTCGTCATTGTTCTACCTAAGATGTTTTCTAGACCTGGATATATTTCATTAGATATATTCACTTAAATGAACAAGTCAAAAACTAGTTTATTCTAGGATAGTATGGTTAGCCTGTGAAAATGTAATATTTGGCCATCAGCTTTATGGTTAATGAGTACTAACAGTATTGAAATGTGCTATTTGTTTGGAGGCAATCGGCACAAAGCCACGTTCGACCTACGTTTCATGTTCGTTGGTACTCGTCAGCAAGGCGTATCAGCAACCTCAAGGGAAATGACGCACTGTCTTTGGGTCGAACCCACAGTGTCCGATGATACAACCAGAGACGTTACCACTAAGGCATTTGGGTCGCGACTGACTTCCTGTCATGGGATATCTCAGTCTGTGATTCATATTTCTCAGCCAATGAATTATTATTTATTATCATTTGTCCTTGGGTTCCTAGTGGAACATAGGGCTTCAGCAGCACGTAGCCGCTTCGCTCTCTTCTTTAAAGTCTGTTTAACCTGGTCCCATGACTACCCACAAGCTTCCATTTCTTCTCCACTTCATCGCTCCATATTGTCCTAGCCTCGGACACCCAAATTGTCATTTCCCATTTGCCTTCCACTCGACACCCTCACCTCGCCTCACCTCGCCTGGCCCGGCTTCGCCACGCCTGGCACGTGATGTCCACAAACCATCTTCTCAGTGTATCCCCAATCCAATCCATCTCAACTCTCTTCTTCTGCATATTTGTTGGATGATGGGTTCTTCGTTGGTTGGTTGGTTGGTTAGTTGCCAACCTGAGTTCCTCCTCACTTATTCTTATTACGCTCGCCATCTATCTCAGTATCGAGTGAGTGAGTGAGTGAGTGTAGGCGTAGACGGTAGCTGTTCATGTGATGTATGTGTGTAGTTTGTTGCAAATGCTTTTCGTAAGACGCCACCAAGTCTCTCAACCATCACATGGAAGCACTGACTGACTTGACCGAATTAGTCTTCAAAATCCGGATCTTCTTCACACCTCATGCTGAGTGCAGTGCAGTGCAGTGCAGTGCAGTGGAGTGTAGTGTACTAGATCTCTACACTGATTATTTCACATTAGTGAAGGTCTTTCTTACTGTCTTTCCAATTCCGGCTTTGACATACTCATCTGTGCCACCCCTGTAGTTGAAACGATGCTGTCTAGGTAGGCATGTAGGTGGGTGAAAGAGACAACTTCCTTTAGGTTTCTCCCGTTGATGTGGATTGGTGCTTGTCGTTGTTGTTGGCTGGGTATCTTCACCTCTGTCTTCCCTACGTTCACCAAAAGAAAGTCCCATCTTTGCTGCTCTGCTTCTTCTGTCAACTTGTCGGTTTTCGCCTGCAGATCTTCGAGTTTCTGAGACAAGACATCAGACATAAATCATCATCGGACAAATCTAAATCGTATAGGGTCTCTTCATCGGTCAAACAGCCTATGCCCATCTTCTCACAGTTGCTGGTTGCATGATCCAGTCTTGTCCAGTCGACCACAATCACGAAGGTTATCGGTAATAGTGGGCAGCAACATTG